CATTTTCCGAGGTAAATGTTTCTTTCAAGATTATTAAGACTCCACTGACAAACGGTGAAGGAAAACATCGTTGGGAAACCTGGGCTTATAATTATTAATCATCAATCGTGGTGATTAGTGTTCAAAGCTTCTCCGTGTGAGAAGAGGCTTTTGGTCAGCAGCGGCCAATTATATGGCTGTTGATGTGTGATCTGGGAATTTTCGTGGCATCTTCCCCGAACTACAAATTCGGTCTATCAAGACAACCTTCCATCTCTTCTCTCGCTCTACCTCTACCAACACTGTAGAGTACCAACCTATATTAGATTATCTAGGCTGAATTGTAACAAATTCAATTTCGCCAATACCAAATTAAGTATAATCGCGGGTTACTCACGTGAATATACTGAGAAGAGCTCTACTAGTTTCGCTGCAGTGAGCGATGACGTCGCCGCGACCGCGCACGCTGCTCATGAGGAAGAACCCCTCTGTGGTTCGAAACTAGTAGAGCTTTTCTCAGTATATTTACGTGAGTAACTCGAAATTTTACTTAATTTAGTATGTCTCACGATAGTTATTAGAAAAACTTTGCCAATACCTGCTATTTATATGGCATTTCAGGATAATATAGGTATCAAAATGTATAGGTAGGTACCACCTACTTGTCTTTCAGTATTTACGTATATAAAGGTCACTCGAACACAGCAAGGTCTTTGAAGAAAAAAAATCTTGCATCAATGTTAAATGTGTTTATTTGATCGCTTAATAAAATATTCAGGAACGATAAAGGACATTATGTTAAGTTTTTGCGAAATTGATCTACGACGCAAGATAAGTTTTATTTATGGTTTCTCTGAAACTGCTTTAATAGCTGTCGATGAGTGGAGAACAGTACATCTTATCGCCAGTCAGCTTCTTCAACGCAATCTGACGATCACGCTCACGGCGCATCGCCTTGAATAAAAGCATAGCAAAAATTAGTTTTGTTAGCGATGCCTCCTTATTTAAAACTAGCTACTTCCGCGCGGTTTCACACGCTCTGCTCATCTCCTATTGGTCGCAGCGTGATGTTTTATAGCCTATAGCCATCCTTGATAAATGCGCTACCCAACACAAAAAGAATTATTCCAATCAGACTTGTAGTTACGGAGATTAGCGCGTTCAAACAAACAAACAAACAAAAAAAAACAAACTCTTCCGCTTTATATATAATAATAGTATAAGATATAAGATTACGATACTCCAGTCTGGAACTTTGAGAATATGCGAAACCCATTTCGTAAATTATTTTCAATACACAACATGCGACGTTTATAGGCGTTGAGTGTTGTGTTGCATATTTAAATATGTAAAATGGCATGAGTTATAGTTAATTAACGTGAAAAGTATAACATAACATTAGGTGGTGCACATTACTTACGGCACTTAATGCCACTGTACAATGTAACACCCACTTACCACTATTTATATTACGAGTCCCATGTAATAGGGAGTGAGTTTATTGCCATATACCGGGCACAATTCCAGAATCCGTGCTACTACTGAGAATTTTTTTAAAACCCAGTAAATTTTTGCCCGATTCGAGACCATTTGCCCGGCAATCGCACTTGCGACCACTCGCCCGACGAGGCAGTAACGTAAAAAGATAGGAAATAAATAAAAAAGTAAAACATTATGGCACTCTGCACTTCAACTGCACCTAGGTAATGTAGATAAGTCAGTAGTATCACAAAGCTTAAGCGCCTGATAAATTTGATTTCGAGTATCACATTTAGGTAATCATTATTTAACTAGGCGCCTTCTAAAATTAATACCTATAGCTAATGGCAATAAAAACTTATCTACCGAAGTAAACCAGGTAATGAAATCTGAAGTTACGAATAAGTACCTACATAATATTTAAGTATTATAAAGTATTGCAACGTACGTAAAATCGTTTGAACTGTTTTGCATTCGTGTGACATTCGCGGAAATCGTCGACCAAATAGTTACATTTCACTAGGCCACGGTCCAGGCCATAAGCCTCCATGCAGTCCATCATTGCCATCTCCTGCATCTGGCAACGACCCAACATCTGGTGGGAATGGATCCCCCCTGTGAGGTCCGTCATGGGGGAACGTAAAAATGGCGATATATTATGCATTTTTTTCTAAAAGGCACTCGACTAGATAAATTATTAGTCGAAGAAACTCGGTAAAATTGATATTTTTTTCAATAGATGTTTACGTCAAATTCAAATTTTCTTTACTGAAAAAAGAAACGCTAAAATAGTTTGTATATTTTTGTATATAAAATAAATTCTTTTTTAATTAGCCTTTTCGCTAACATTTTACTTGACTTGCATTAATTTTTTAGTTAACTCGGACTTTGGTTTGTTATATAAAAATATTTTTACAGATTGACGATTGAATGACTGACTGATTTATGGTTATGGTTTTGCATTCTCAAAGTTCCAGATTGGAGTATCTTAATCTTATACTATTATATAAAGCGGAAGAGTTTGTTTTTTTAATGTCGCGAGACGATAAAGTAGTAATCAATAATCAAAATAATAGTAATTTATCACACTAGCAGTGATTCATTAATAATTTAAATTTTATTTACCAACCCTTAATAAGGAGTTGTGACCTAGAAATGCACTGAGGCATCGCATGCTCTTCAACAATATTTTAATCCGACTTGCTTCTTGCTTACCTCGCAGCTTGTGGTAGGTATGTTTCATTGAAACGAATACACATTTTCCCTTGACTTATTACAAAAGCTTTCTTCCCTAAAAGAAGATAACAATTGCTGTGGGTTTACCGTTTATGGTGGTAGGTGGCGAAGTGGTGATTGTCAGTCGCAACTTCAAAGAGACTATTATTAAAGAAACAAATACGAGATGTCGCTTTTTACGCAATTTTAGGCTTACTGCACCTTGGCCATTATTTATACTCATGCATAATACTTTTTTCTGAAGATAACTAATATGCAGATAGCCTGTATGATTTGACCTTGGATCAAATTGACCTTGTGTTGGTGAAATGGTAAGTACCTACTATCTTTTGGACATTTGTGTTATAAGTTCTGAATAACAATAAATACATGTTTTGTTTCGTGTGGTTTCTTATTTTTTAAGTATCAATACCAAAGGATCAGTATTAGGATCAGGACCCTGTGTTTGTGTAATGTAAACTAGTTTTTAAAATAAAATCTATATATTTTTGTGTTAAAAATCATGGAAGAGATACAACAAATAGGTAAATTGATTAAATTATTTTATTTACATCAGTATTACAGTATATTCTGTTGCAAAAATTAAAGTAACTATTGGAAAAGGTTGATCTACATAAAATTAGTAGCTATCAATTTTCGGTGACACAAATTTGTCATCTCCATTCAATTTTCCTGCAGCAATTTGCCTATCACGCTCTCTGCGCATTGCCTGAAAATATGAAAATAAGAATTCAGACAGATAATTATAATTATAAGTAGTATATATAGATATTCATTGAAGTATAATAAGAAAAACTGAAAAAAAAATATAAATCAATACACATTAATTATCAAATGGAGTTTAGTTTATACTTGTATTATTATATACATTAGCCCTATATACATTAGTATTATGTAAATATATGCTTTGGAAGGAGGCTATTAGTTTTTGAGTGTTTGTGATTGTCTAAGATTGTAAAGTATGATATATTTGTAGCTTCATCCCCATAATGTGAGCAACGGATTTTCTACACTGTATTGAGATGCGAGGTATCAAAATAAAGGATTTTAAATACCTAGTAATATAAAAGTTACTATTAATACAATTTGATTGGACGGACTCATTAAAAAATGGCACTGAATGCAGCACGCAATGCGGCCAGTGTGAGCTTTGCATGCTGTGACTCCTAAATTTAATATTAGTTTCAGCTGTAATAAGTATTCTTAAAATATCCGTATTATAATCCGTAATAATCAGCATAGTACAATTTTGATACCATGTACGGATCCAATTCATATTGTTGCCAGTTGTACCTATGTATTATTAAATTAACATTTACTCTGTGTTATCTTAATAGTTGGTCCAAAGAGAATAATAATTTATTCTCTAATAGGATATTATAATACTAAGTTTATCAGACTTGTTAGAGACTAATGTTTATGGCATGGTAATGTAAATTTCAGATTTTCAATACTTATTCTAAACACACATACCACGAATCTTTTGTATTGCTTCATTGAGGTCTGGCATTCATGGAAGTCGTCAAACAAATGTGCGCATTTGACCTTTCCGCGCTCAAGACCGTAAGCCTCCAGGCATTCCATGTAACGACTCTCCTCCTTCTGGCAACGACCCAGCATTTGATGGGAGTGAATACCTCCCGTCAAGTCCGTGAACGGAGAGCGGAGGAATGGTGAAAGAGACATTGTTATGTCTGAAATACAGAAAATAATTCTTCAGAAACTACATTTAGGTTACAAAATTACGTAAACAAATGACATCAAATTTTATGATCAATTTTTTGCATGTTTGATTTTGATTAAATTGCATTTTGTGTGTTAATTTTAACAAATGAATGTGTCTCTATTCTATTTTCCCATGCAAAACAAATTACCTTATAAATTCTTTCGAAAATCGAATTCGATCAATGATTTTCTGGTCGAAAACAATGATTTGACATTGACAGCAACCTGTACTGTCAGAGTCATAAATTTGACACAGATAAAATAATTGTATTAAAATTCAGGTTGAAATCTCAGATATTTTATAGTTCAATGTATATAATAAATCTAATGCTTAATGTAATATTTTTATGCTTATCAAATTATATTTAGAGAGCAATATTGTAATAATATAGATAATTTTCAACATGACCGATCCATAATCGTTATCATATCGATATCGATAAGTTTTCTACTCGGGTACTAACTGTTACTGTCAGAAACAGCTGAGTTGTTGGACATATTGAATTGAAGTTACAAAAATTGAACTCTCCACGTAAAACAAAACAAGTTATTGTAAAATTTCAAGAAAGTACATAAACTCAATGAACATGGAGCAGTGGATTAGTGAAGGATTGTCCAAAATCTTGGATTTCCAGATACCGGATGATTTAATAAAGTAAGTTCCATTGAGGAAACGTGTTTCTGTTTTCATTCCTGTACTTGGTATATGATATATGGTTTTAAACCCTATTATGACTATGGGTGGCTTGTGAATATAATTAATTGTTGTTATGTTCAATTTTCAGATATATAATGTCTATAGAAAGTGAGAATGATTTGAATGAGTACATGAAAACTCTGCTCGACTTTGATAACTCACAACATAAAGGTTTCTTCCTGGAACTTTGCAAGAAAAAGTTCCCAAGCAGAGGTAAGTTATATTTATTTATTTATTAACTTTACACAATTTACCAATACAATAAAAATATTGTTAATTGCAAAATATTATTTTGTTGATTTACTTATTATTGCGCAATGTTATCACAATAAAATACATCATAATATTATGAAAATAATATTTTTACTAAACTTATTTATATAGCCGGAACGATTATTACAATCATCACTAGTAACTACATTTTATTTTATTACTAAAAATTTTATTATAGCCATATCCACTGTCATACGCTGAAATACTCAAATGACACTCAATTTTAAGTGGCACTTGAGTATAGTCTTGTCATAAATTCTTAACAAAATAATAGAGATGGCATGATATTTAAGTACAACGTAAAATTGAGTAGCCTTTCAGTATTCGGAAGCTAATCTCACACCTTTTAGTCTCTTTAGGTGTAAAAATACAATGTAACCACCCTCTTGTCTTTAGCTATGATATAAGTCTTACATTAAACTGTCAAACACCAAGCGGTCACCGGTGACCGCATGGTATTTGGCACGGTTCTTTAATTGTGTCTATAAATACGGTACTCGACGAGTTAAATAGGTATGGAGCCTTTGGCCTATGTCCACTACTACCATACCAATACTTATTATCGCAGTTTACTCACATGTATATATTGAGTAGAGTGATTTTGTGCAGCCTACATTGCTGACCGTACAAGTTTTAGTTAATTAAGTATGTTTTACGATAATTATGAAAATATTTACTAATTTATTACAAAAACTCCAGCCGCATCACAACCCAAACAAAAGAAGAAAATATCTAAGAATAAGCAACAAGACTTCATCAGTGCCCCACCACCAGTTCAGGAAATAAAGGAACCTGTGGAATCTGATAGCAAGTCCAAGAAGAAGACCAAGTATGTCAACTTGTACTCACAAGAAGGGAAGAATGCACAAGTTGTGTTGTTAAAAGGTATCATGTTTGTGTTTTCTTAGTGTAATAGATTTTCAACCTTATTGTAATTGGCTATGGCCTAAAATCTGTCATATTATAAAGTCAGATTGGATTGCTTGAATTTTTTAGTTTATTGCAAATTTATAATAGGACTAGCTACTTCCGCGCGGTTTCACTAGCTCTGCTCAGCTCCTATTGGTCGTAGCGTGATGTTTTATAGCCTATAGCCATCCTCGATAAATGCGCTATGCAACACAAAAATAATTATTCAAATTAGACTTGTAGTTACGGAGATTAGCGCGTTCAAACAAACAATTGAAAAAAAAACAAACTCTTCCGCTTTATATTATAGTATAAGATTTAGTTTAAAATGATAAAACCAATTGAAAGGATATTTTTTGAATGTTCAAAAATATTTATAAAAATAGTTTAAATTGAGTTATAAAAAAATATTTTATATTTTGCAGGCAGACACCGCTGTGACTGTCAAGCTTCCAAACATGATTTGGTCAACAATTGCATTCAATGTGGACGTGTCGTGTGTACGCAAGAAGGCTCAGGACCATGCCTGTTTTGTGGTAACCTGGTAAGCAATATTATTTTAATTTCAGACAATTGTCCCTATATATAACTACATGAATTACAAAATATGAAAAAATATAAAGGAGATGGCGGGACGAATTAGACATCTATGACAAGGATTGACCGCAAAAAGCTTTACATAGAGAGGAGTGGAAGGAGGTTAGGGAGGCCTTTGCCCTGTATTAGGACGATCATGGCTGAAAATAAAATGTTTTGAGTGTCACACTATGATCATGTAGTGCATCCTGTATACCTGTTGTTACCTAAATTATCACTTAATACTATGTATATTAGTATACCTATTTATATAAATAAATAAATCGTACGCCTTGTACTTTCACAATTTTCTACATCGATATTAACTGATGCTGCTGCACGGTTGGCGCAACTGGCTGCCGCGCAACGTGTCGCGGGTTCGACTCCCGCACAGAGCAACTCTTTGTGTGATCCACAAATTGTTGTTCCGGGTCTGGGTGTCATGTGTATGTGAACTTATATGTTTGTAAACGCACGTCGTATGCAACGTTTTTTTTAAAAAACAAGTTTTGCACAAAATGTTTAACATTTGCGCAAAATCTTATGCCAAAGATTTAATTTTTTTCTATCACACGTAATCATTAATACATTCTAGGTATTATAAAAGCTTATACATAAGTTAGTATTTAATACTTCAAACTGTAATGAAAGCAAAGTTGATAAAAAATTCTGTCTTCTAGGTGTGCACTCCAGAAGAACAAAAAGAGATAAATTCGAAGACCAAGGGTGCTGCCAAGCTGATGGAGTCTTTAATGGAACGAAGTAGACCTAAAGGATGGGAGGCTGCCCTCTCACACAGGAACCGTCTACTGGAGTATGACCGCACTAGGTACGCATTGTAGTTCTATGTAATATAAGTTCTATGTAAAATGAATAAATAGCAAAATAACAATATTACAATGCCCCCAGCATATTTCCAAAGTGGTCCATAATATTACTGAATCATTCATTTAAAACTCTGGTCATGTCAGTGCCTTTAGGCAAATGCCACTTTAGCGCTTGTCTACAGAGAGAGTAGAAATCAAAATGTATTGGAATGACACTGCCGAGTGTCAAAATTTACGCCAATTCCATATAATTTAGTTTTCTACTCTACAGGGAGACAAGCGCTAAATGGCATTTGGATTCAGCTGCTTGTTACACAAAATTATCGTTTCAATTTGCAGTGAGCGTCGTACTCGCGTCACGGACGATGACAGCGACTACTTCAACGCTAACAGCGTATGGCTGAATGCTACTGAAAAGGACAAGTTAGAAAAATACCAACAATCTCTCCATGACAAGAAACATGGCTCCAGGCTCAATAAGAAGATGACATTTGATTTTGCTGGTAAGTAACACTACTATTTCAATTTAATTAAAAAACTTCCTTTTGACTTTGTAGTAATGCCGATTGCGCAACACTTGCGCAAAATGCGTCTTTCTTGCGCAAACTAATACATGAATGTGGTCTTATAAATATATCTATTTTCGTTTATTACATTTAGAATGTTTCTCTAAGATTAAAACCGGTGCTAAAAATCTGTAAATCCAAGATGTATTAAAATAGTCATCTGACTTATGGAGTTATATAAAAATAAGTCGGGTTTTCCTCCCTGACGCTATAACTCCAGAACGCACGAACCGATTTCCCGTTTTCGTTGGAAAGGTCTCGGGATCCGTGAGGTTTATAAAATATAAAACAAAAAAAAAATTCTTCATCTTTTAAGCCATCTGGTAGCGAAACGGAGTTCGCCGGATTTGCTAGTTGATTTATACAACTTCAAACTCAAACTAAAAATACTCTTCACTTAGGTAAATACAACGTATTTTCCGTTCTCAGGTCGCCAAATAGTGGAAGACAACACAGTAGACTATGAGCCGGACGAGGATCAGATCAGACAGATGACTACTGACAATACTACCAGTGGAAGCAAGCTGCAACATGACATGTTCATCGGAGTGGCCAGTGACAGGGACGTGGCTCCTGGAGTTAATGCACCGCTTTTACAGGTCAGTACCATAATTATGTGTAGGTGGTAGGTAGAAATTGTCCATTTTCAAACCTCTCTTTTTAAGGAACCTCCAAGCTAACACTAAGACAGGTGACACTTAACGACATTTTAGTTTTCTTAAGTGATGAAGGTAAGGGGTTAGTTTATGTACTAAGTAAGTCTTAGTTAAGAGATTGTTTGGCGGTCATAAGCTTATTTTAATGCAGAAAGACCAGAGCAGAGTTTTATTCAAGAGCGTCTTTCATTTATAATCGTTTTGAAACCCATTGTAACGACTTTTCACCCGACTGCAAAAGAAGGATAATATTTATTCATCGACAAATTAAAGTTAGGAAGCACACTGTCTTTAGGGTACCATCATTTATCACCTTTTAGTACTAAAATTATTACCGAAATAAAATCTATTGCAGTTCGACCCTTCAGTAGAGAAAGGCTACGCTCAGGTGACCAGAAGTAATCCTGGCCAGCAGATGCCTCGCGTCCAGGACATGGAGCTGCAGGAGATGAGTGACACCGGCCGCTGTCTGTCCATGCACCAACCCTGGGCTTCTCTCCTTGTTGAGGGGATTAAGCTGTAAGTAGTTTACTTATTGACCTGGTGTGGAAGGCAGATCTACGTCATCTACGTGGGACACAATGTGTTTTCTATTGTGTATGTGTGAAATAATATGGTGTGGAAAAGAAGCCATGTTAATTTTTAAAAATATTTTTTAAAAGGTATCACGCCTTTTCTACTTAGTTATTGTAGACAACACTAATTAAATAACTTCAAAAAAAGATACAGGTTGTCAGTTTGATCTGTATGTATGTGTTAGTGCGTGTTTATCTCGCGAACTGATTTTGATGCGGTTTTAAAAAAAAGTGTTTGTTACACTTAGGAGTAGGTTGTATATATTAATTAACCGACTTCAAAAAAGAGGGGTTTGAAGTTGGTGTTATAAACGTAGATTGTTTTTTATGTTCATAAAATAATTATTTGACCAGTTGTCATCATCAAAAGAGTAATGATGGAGTTTTTTGCTCGTTCTTCTCCATTCTAAACTGCACTTGCATTCTAAACACACATTGGACAATTAAATGCTTTACCTTTGATATCTCGATTATAAACCCTATTATATTATAAGTTGAATATAACGTTTAAATGTATTCATACATACGAGGTTAACCACACTCATGGAAAACGTTACACAATTAATTATGTGTAAAATATTTAAAAGAGTAGTCGACTTTTGTCTATTGTTTAGTCAACTTTTGCTGACCGTAAACTTCACTAGCGCCATTTTGTCAGACCTAAGTCGATAACTCTCATTTACTGAACAACCTGAACCAATAAGCTAAAAATATTAACCCGCTGAAAATTGTTGAAAATCATTCCCTAAATTTGTTCATACAAAAGTAGTCTCTAAATATTGTGTATAAGGTCTATAATGTAGTTAGTGAAGAGCGGTCACTGGTGACCGGTCACCGGTGACTATAGTTCAATCAGGGTTTTATTTTTATCAGTGTCACACTTAAAATAACAAATATTGGTTAGGAACAATTGTTAAACACATCGATCATCTTAACTTCGAAAGTAAGTCACTAGTACAAGGTGATCGATATTTAAATAGGTCAGGGCTTACATGACGTAGCGAGGGTTAAACTCGCTTGCGCGGTACGTGACCTCGATAGAAAGGTCAACACGTGGCCTGTGACGTCACAGGAGAACGTCACAACTTTCAAACAAGTACCGTAGATGTCGCTGTAACCATTCAATATACACTGGACAGATAAAGTCAACACGTGGGCCGTGACGTCACGGGTGGAAACCTTTACATAGATGTCGCTTTACTTGTTCAATCGAGAGAGGAGAGGGAGCAGTTTATAATTATTTCGGCACCTAGATGTCGCTTAACATTGAGAGTCCATTTCTGAATCGCGGTGTTAAGATTCTCCGCGATTTTATGACCTCGCGGACCGAACGTATGTTCGATAGAAATTTTTAACGGGGGTATATCCCTTGTCTAAAATTTCTCAATGAGCCACGATGATGAATGGCGCTGGAAACGTGAGGTTGGTTGATGCAGTAATCCAAGTTCTTGAGTTGGCATTGCGAGGGTACTGACATCAGCTATCGATGATCGTTTAAGTCACTTAGAGGAGTATATAGTGACTAAGGTACCGCTAGCGCTGCCTGAGTGGCTCTTTTTAACCCCCTTTTAATTCACAAAAAATGGACAATTTCACTAAAGTCACTAAGGTCAGTTGTAAGCATGACTGCTGAGATGCTTGAGGTCGGACAAAGTGCTATTCGATTTCATAATACATAAACATTAATGAAATGTAGATAGAATGTAGATTGCTTATTGCTTATTACTCACATTTATTCCTATTTCTTGTTTCTGGGAAAATCCTATAGGTAATATACTATAATTACCTTTATAATTAACGCTTTAATCCAGGATACAATGTTAACTGTTTATTTTTTAAAATAGTACTCGGAGTTTGGTGAAATAAAGTTATTGGTACTACAATGCAAAGGTGCACTTTTGTCTCCCCTAATATATGTATAACACTTACGTTCATGGGCGATCTGCAGCATTACAAAAATGTGAAAAACAATAATATTCTTGAACGCACTTTTCGAAAAGTATATATAAGTATTATGTAGGTCTTGTATAAGTATAATTGACATAATTTCTTTATTCTTATTTCTTAATTTTTTTTTAAACCTTGGCCTTGCCGTTCAATTCTGATGCCTGTTTTCAATTCTATACTTTCCTATTCCAGGCATGAAGGTCGTACCTGGTACTCCAGTCACCGCGGTCGACTGTGGATCGCATCTACGGTGAAGCCACCAGACCAGGAACTCGTTAGGGCCATTGAGAACCAGTATAGAGTTCTATACCCAGGTAAGAATCAGACTTTTTTAAAGAATTACCTTAGACTTTTTGAAGAATCAGCTTACAATATTATCTTAGACAGACTTATTAGCCAACCTTTTTGGTTTGAATTACACCCAATATTTCGAAATTAGCATCCGATTTATGCCACACTACTCAAATTCATGCAAAATTTATCATTACAATGTTAACTGATAACTATAGGTATAAGTATAATATTGTTTAATTGAAATCTTACAGATACAGAAGTAAAGTTCCCGTCGTTCTACCCAACTGGATGTCTCCTCGGCTGTGTCAACGTGGATGACTGCCTACCACAAGAAGAGTACCAAAAAAAGTAAGTACATTGCATTATGGACCTTATGTGTTTGTTGTTAAGACGTAATATTATTTATTACCAGTGACGCGACCCGGCTTGCTTGGGTGCTACTCCTTGAAATTCTCCTTGAAAATTTTGATTCCGATCAATTAGAAGTTAAGTGTATACATTCATGCATTATAGCGATCCTTTTTAACTGACTTCAAAAAAAGGAGGAGGTTCTCAATTCGACCGTATATTTATTTATTTATTTATTTGTAAGCTTCATGCACAAAATGTACATAAGGTGGACTTAATGCCGCAGGCATTTTCTCCCAGTCTGACCTTTGGGTGATGCAGAGAAGAGTTAATGGTGTGAGCAAGAAGCAAGCAACTATTTAATAGAGCAAATAAAATAGATATACTTACATATTTCAGGGATAAACATAAATAAACATAATTATAATATATATACCTACACACGAGTACAACACAATACACATGCATGCATTCATACATATATACATATATACATACATACATACATACATACATACATACATACATACATACATACATACATACATACATACATACATACATACATAAATATAGACTGTGAGTAATTAGCGTGATGATTCAGCCACCCTCTCCAAGAGAAGTTCACGCACTTTCTGCTTAAATGATAGACGAGTCGACACCATCCTGATATCCAGGGGAAGCGCATTCCACAGCAAAATTGACTGTACGAAAAAGGAAGAATGAAAGAAGTCGGTGCGATGAGTGGGACATTGAAGAAGACGGTTATGAGAAGAACGAAGGTTTTTGCTGTGGTTTGCGCATAGATATTGAAAATAAGGGGAAAGATAACTGGGCAAAGAAGGTGAACAAAGAAAGGAGAATAGGGTGGTTAGCGCCCTTTGCTCCCTGCGCTGGCGTATGGGCAGCCACTTTAGTTGCATCCGATGTGCAGAAACATGATCGCAGGTTGAAAACGAATCGAATGCAGTTATTCAGAAGACGGTCAAGCTTGTGGAGGAGATCTGCATTCAGGTCGTAGTAGCACACATCAGCATAATCAATAATAGGGAGAACCAAAGCCTGCACCAACATAGCCTTCGTAGCAGGAGGAAGTAAGTTTTTAGCGCGATAGAGAGCCCGCAAAGATCCAGTAACCTTTTTGCATACGCTGGTGACCTGAGCTTGCCACTTCAGACTGTTATCCATGTGCAGGCCCAAGTTTTTCACCTCACTACTAAACGGGATTACCGCACCATCGAAGACCAAGGCCGGCAAGGACGCCATGTCAATTCCATTCAGCGTGCGGGAGCCACCTATAAGAATGGCCTGGCATTTTGCAGGATTAACTGCTATGCCGAACCTATCGGCCCAGTTCTTAACGGCCGCCAGGTCACCGTTCATCTCCGAGATCGCATCAGACAGCTCATTAACACCAGCTTGACGATATAGCTGCAAGTCATCAGCGTACAGATGGTACGCACACTGAAGTTCGAAAGTTATAAAATTAATGAAGATAGAAAATAAAAGAGGAGATAGTATACCGCCTTGAGGAACGCCAGCCCCTAGTTCACGCCAAGTAGATGAACCATCACCAACCCTGACCGACTGCTGACGCCCCTGAAGATAAGAAGAGAACCAGTTCAGTGTTTTGTCAGAGATCGTAAGATGGGATAGGACGGCTAGAAGGATGTCGTGACTGACCATATTGAAGGCATTCGAGAAATCAACTAAAACCAGAATTGTAACCATGGTGTTCTCGAGGCCAGTTCTTATATCGCCAGTCACCTTAAGGAGAGCGGAGGTAGTGCTGTGACCTGGTCTGAACCCGGATTGGAGAGGACTAATGAGAGAATTCCGGTAAACGAAGTTGGACAGCTGTTTGTGTACACAGGCCTCAAGCACTTTGGAAAGGAAAGGAAGTATGGATATGGGACGGAAATGAGTGGGGAGAGAGGAATTAGAAATTTTCGGGAGAGGACGAACAAAGGCCTTACGCCACAAGGATGGAAAGGTTCCTGAAAAAAGGGAAAAATTAACAATATGGGTTATTGCTGGTAGAATGTGATCCAGTATAGTTGTGGTCATGTGACGAGATATATTATCACATCCTACCGCTTTGGATTTAATGGACAGGATCATCTTTCCGACCTCCGCCGACTGAACCGGTACAAAGCAAAAAGTACTAGAAATCTTAGGACGCTCCAGACCAGCAATGAAAGATAACGTATGTTGTTTGACTAGACGATCCATGACAGGGACAGTGGAGAAATGGTTGTTTAGATCGTCTAAGTCAATTGTGTTAGGAAGGTCTGGATATTGCGTTTTACCGATACCCAGAGTTCCGAGGAATTTCCAGATATCGGCAGGAGAAGAAGAAGATATGTTTTCGAGAATATGGCGGCGTTTAGCGTCACGTACCATCTGGTTGCATCTATTTCTCGCTGTTTTAAAAGCAGCCCAGTTTTCGTCCGTACGATCCCTTCGATGTTTGCGGAACGCACGGTCCCGGCGTCGCATAGCCATTCTGATACCAGACGTCACGTATATATGCTTTTTTTATGTTTGTTCGCCGATATCTGCGTTGTTTATGATTGTTTGATTATGATCTTTTTTTGTTGGAAAGGAGATAGTCTCAGAATGGTCCCATGATAAGGAAATCAGGACCTGATGATGGAAGACCAGGGAAACCGAGGGAAACTTTAAAAAATTATAGGGGCGACTAGTGCATTTGTTAATTTTTTCATTAAGTATTAAAAACCACTACCATTTGATAACGGTCTAGAGTCGATCTGATGATGGAGCCGAGAGCCAGTCGAGGGAACTCCTCAACGGTTAACAGTAGCTACCTTGTGTTTGGGTTTGATTAATTTGTATTGATGAGGACTTTACACCTAGGTGGGGTGTAATTGTCAATAAGGGTCTGATGATGAAGTAGTACGGTAGTTGAGGGAACTCCTCAACGGTTAACAGTAGCTACCTTCTGTTTGGGTTTGATTAATTTGTATTGATGAGGACTTTACACCTAGGTGGGGTGTAATTGTCAATAAGGGTCTGATGATGAAGTAGTGCGATAGTTGAGAGAACTCCTTAACGGTTAACAGTAGCTACCTTCTGTTTGGGTTTGATTAATTTGTATTGATGTTGATGAGGACTTTACACCTAGGTGGGGTGTAATTGCCAATAAAGGTCTGATGATGAAGTAGTGCGATAGTTGAGAGAACTCCTTAACGGTTAACAGTAGCTACCTTCTGTTTGGGTTTGATTAATTTGTATTGATGAGGACTTCACACCTAGGTGGGGTGTAATTGTCAATAAGGGTCTGATGATGAAGTAGTGCGATAGTTGAGAGAACTCCTTAACGGTTAACAGTAGCTACCTTGTGTTTGGGTTTGATTAATTTGTATTGATGAGGACTTCACACCTAGGTGGGGTGTAATTGCCAATAAAGGTCTGATGATGAAGTAGTGCGATAGTTGAGAGAACTCCTTAACGGTTAACAGTAGCTACCTTGTGTTTGGGTTTGATTAATTTGTATTGATGAGGACTTCACACCTAGGTGGGGTGTAACTGTCAATAAGGGTTTGATGATGAAGTAGTACGGTATGTACCAAGAACGAAAGCGTAGTTACTTACTGTAATATTACTGTTTTCCAGATACCCAGGTGGTGAGAGTGACAGTCCGTACGTGTTCATCTGTTCCAATCCCATCAGCTTGAGGCTTAGGTTCCCGATCAAAGGAGCCCATAAAATATGTAAGTCTTTTAATAACTATTGAATTACCTTCTATAATAAAATATACTGTTTAAACTGTCAAACACCAAGCGGTCACCGGTGACCGCAACCTATTGTTCTTTAATTGTGTCTATAAATACGGTACTCGACGAGTTAATAATGCTGCGTCGTTGTCCGAATAGTCGCAAGTGCGACAGCCGGGCAAGGGGTTTCGGGTTCAATACCCGGGTCGGACAAAGCATTACTGGGTTTAAAAAATTCTCAGTAGTAGCACGGAGTCTGAAATTGTGCCCGGTATATGGTAATAAGCTCACCCCCTATTACATAGTAGGACACCTATAACAGAAATAGTGAAAAGTTGGTGTAACATTCTACAGTAGCATTAAGTGCCGTGATGTATACCTCTGCCTACCCCTTCGGGGATAAAAGACGTGATTTTATGTTATGTTATGTTATGTTATGATACCGTTGAGTTTTATTAAGGTAATACTTTGAGAAATATTGTTTTAAAACATTGTCTTTTCGTTGTTCTGATAGCAAATTCTTTCTCTTTTACAGATGCATTGGACAAAACGATTCATCAAGCAGCTGTGAAGAGCATTCAGAAAATGTTCAAAGTCCAGCCAAATGCTGCATAAGGTCCATTACTTATTACTTAAACATATTTATTATAATTACCCTATTTATATCGAATAATACACAAAATTTGTTAAGAAAAATCTTTTATTTACACAATTAATCACTAAGAGTATAAATATTTTATTCAATTTATTCATTCATACTTCACTCTTATACTCATATTCACTTCAATATTCAAAGAAACAGAAATAAATTTGCATTTAAATAATACATTTTATAATAAATGCTGCAGAGTTTTGAATATAAATGTAAAACATACGTACACACAGATGTAACACTACAGTATAGTTAATATTATATATGTAACAAACAACCACAAACACATACTTTGCATTTAAAATAACATTAGACAAGATCCTTGTTCTGCAGCTTATTTACTCAATTTTGAACTCTATTGTATAGACAATTGCTATAAATTTTAAACACTTCATTGAATTAACGCTGTGGTTGTCGTTGGTGACGATTTTAGGAGTATCAAGCTACTTAACCATAAAGTCTAAATATTGTCAATATGTCCTCGACTTTACTTATACAATTATATGCTACAAAAATCTTTCTATATTAAAATATGTCTCTTATTTTTATTGCATTATTTTCTATAATATTTTGTATGAAATCCTGCAACTGAATTGTTTGTTTCATGCATATGTAATAGGATTCAAAATTGCACAACTGCTGTACCTGCATGGGATTTATGTATCTAAGGTTATTTTAAATGCAGTAATGTATTGTAACTTAGTAACTAAATGAGCACCGATAGAGTTCGAACAACAGTTGTGAAATAACTATAAATGAGATGAATAATAATAATATTTAAATAAGTCTTACCTAGTGTCAGTTCTTGCAAGTTTAGCTCGACGTGTAGTTGCTAAAATCTATCTATTTATAGTGTAAAGTCCAGCGGTCAATAAATTACTGAAAATGCCTTAAAACAGGGTGTATTAAAGCCAGTTCTAATTCAATGTCAAAATTGTGAAAATTGACAAGGCGACATCACTAGCAGCGTCTCTAGAAGAGAGTGCAGTGACGTCATTACTCTTATGCTTGAGTTTACATGTAAAAAACTTATTAAGTTTGACTTCTTTTACCGCTGTCGCACAGACCTAAAGAAAAGCTTTGGCAGTATAAAGAGGATTTGGTTTGTAGAGTTAACTATACTTAGGAACGTTACGATTCCTTCTTCTGGTTCAATTGGGGAAAGAATGCTTCTATTGGTAAAATAGGGTCATCTGTCGCTATCGTAAAGTAATTTGGTATCCGCCTACTGTTTGACGACACAGTCTTAAACATACCCGGCTTATTGTAATCTTTACTTGCTGCTAATGTTAAGTCAGACACTCTCTTCGAATGCTCAAATAAATGCTCTAAATGATCCTGGTGCTTCTTGTCCGCTATCTTCATGATTGCACTCTCTGATCTTGTCCTTTCTGATGTTATTTCGTTCCTGTCGTAGACTGTTGTTTCTGTCACCGATATGTCCTGCACAGATTCACCTATTTCAGAGTCCTTTATCTTCTTTCTTATTGGTCTTTTGCTGTGTACTGTGGTTGGTGTGGTCGTCTCCGGTTCTTCAGTCGTAGGCCTCGGCCGCCGCTGACCGTTCCGAATCCGCGCTGATACTCTGATCGTGGTCGCCTCAACATTCTCCGTTGTCTGTCTCTGTTTATTTGGTTTAGTAAATTGTGTTTCCTTCTCTGTCTGCGTCTGGTCGTTCTCCACATTTCCAGTCTTGTATCGCGGGTCTTTAGGCGTGAATCTTTTGCGTTCGGTAGTGCTTTCATTGTCATTGTTAATATTTTCGTTGTAAGGCACTCTTCTCTGAGGGAATCGTATCTTAGGTACGTTTTCAGCAGGTTTCTCAGTAGTGCTAGTTGTGGAACTCAGTCGGTTTCTGTAATCTTTGACGTTGAATCTCGTTCTGTTGTATTTGTTCCGTAGTCTCGGTCGTTGAGATCGGCTTGTAGTTGTGACGTCAACTCTCGGAGTGGTCGTATAGTCTGTTCTATCTTCTTTGTAAAATTCTGTTGTGGTCTCCCAAGCCCTTACTGGTTCTAGTTTAGCTTCAATAGGCTTCACATCTTTATGGAATGAAAATTCTTGTCCAGATTCGACAGTAGTTTTCAGTGTATCGGATAAACTAACCGTGACGTCACTTGTTGGCGTGTCTTTTTCATCCTGTTTGTGTGTGAAATCGTTTTTGAAATCATAACTATTTATTTTAGATCCATGCGGTCTGCTTGTTATTTTCATAATCTGCGATTCGTTGTTTAGATCTTCTTGAACGTATGTTGTAGTTTCTGGTCTATCAGCGGGTGTAGTTAATGGTCGGCGATGAACAACTTCTTCTTCACTATGGTAGGTATAGTAGGTGTGACTGTCGGTAGAGCGCTGGTGGTCAGGTCAGTCGTGACAGTTGGTGTAGTCAGGTTAGGTTGTGCCTTCGTTGGCCTAACTCTCGGTCTGATAGTGTATACTTCTTCGGGGTCTGTGGTCAGAGTTGGCTCGGTCGATGAGATGTATGCGGAGGATCGGGTGCTTAGCGTACTTGTAGTGCTAGCAGTGTCATCCTTGTTGCGGTTGTTATTCGCTAGCGGGGGACGGCGTCTCCTAACCTTGTTCCTCTTCCGTTCCGACACGTTGGGACGTTTGAAATGCTTGTTAGGAGGTAACGTAGGCAGAGCTTCTACTTGTGCGTCTCCGTTGTTGTCCTTGTTGTTAAACTGCGTAGTGGTCTCTGGTGTCGAAGTATACTTCGCCGCTTCAGTCGGCTTCTTCGTTCGTCTTGACGTGGTGTAGTCTTCGTATGAAGGAGTTGATACCTTGTAGTAGTAGTCTTTAAGCTTGTGCTTACCGATCGGTTCAACGAAGTCGTCTTCTAGAGGCCGCCTGCTTTGGGATTCGACTTTCGCGTCGTAGCTCAAAGAGTTGTCATGGCCATTCTCAGCCTCGGTCACGATGGCAAATTCTTCAGGGAGGTCTGGCACAGGCGTGGGCTCCGGTTTGCGGTACGAATCGGAATAGTCTTGCGGCTTTGTTGTTTCTTGTGTAGGTTTCTGATTGTTATACTCATACGTTTGAGAGGTCAATGTCCAGGGTGCTGTTGATGATTGAGAATGAAAATCATCCGAAGATTCAGTTACTTCGTAAGTCTGTCGGTAAGGAGAGCTTTGTGCATTCTGTGCATCTGCTCTCAAGGGAGTGTTGGCGTACTGTTTCGACGGTTGCTGGTTACCACCGGCAGCGAGATTGTCGTGGATCTTGTGTTTCTTTTTCTCGTTACTATAGTTAACGTTCTGTGGTTCATGCGCTATTTGGCCCTGCTGGTTTTGGTGTGTGGGGAAGTTGTAGTCGTAGAAGTTGTTGGCTAGCGTTGTCGTGGCAGCGGTCGGATTGTATGTGGTGACGGAGATTTTATTGAAGTCACTTTGATGGTTCTTTGCGAAGGGATCTTGAGGGCTTGGTTTGAAGGCGTCTTTGGCTCCAGCATTGGGATCGATCTTTGGTGGGACGTAAACCTTAGTTTGTGGTGTGGGTGTGATCTTAATATCGCTGTATGTTGTCCCGTAATGCAGCTGATTTGCGGTTGTGGGTAACCTGGGTGTAGTTGAATCGTATATTGTCGGAGTAGTCTTGAAATTCGGGGAGTAGCTGAACGAGTTGAATATGGTCGTCTTGGTCGGTTGTGTATGTGGAGGTAAATATGTAGTCTTCGTAGCTGGAAACTGGTACACGGGATCTCTGCCTTTAACTGACTGAACTCCAAATGTTCCAAACGAACCTGGAATAAAGAACATTTAAATGAGATACATAGGAATATAAGCTTTACAATCGTTTGAGAAACCTAGCGGACTGATGAAAGTAACTTGCCTAATATACTCGGTGGGAAGACAGCATCCTGGAACGAATACTGTGCGTAAGGGTTGACGATGTTAGGTATGCCGACCAGGCCCTGCTGCTGCGCTGTCTTCACTTGCTGAGGACCTGTCTTTACTTGTTGACTGACGGACTGCGGCGCCGTGTCACTATCTTGTAGCTTGTACAGCTCTTGCTTGTAGATCTCAGTACCACTTGTCTGCTGCTTCTTCGTCTCCGTGGGTCTCGCATAACTTTCAATCGGTTTCCCAAACAAGTCCAAAGGTTTAGTCGTCTGGTATTGTCCGAACTGTATTGGCTGTACGTTTGTCAGTTGCTGCATCATAAGGTTCTGGTGATTATTTTGCTTTACTTTATTGGGATACTTGGAATATACTTGACGGGTGTTAAATGGAATGTGAGGGTTTCTCAGAAGGACGCTCTCCACTGGGTAGTTTTGGACAAACTTGTAGTTTGAGAAGCCGTTGCTTTGGAAGGCAAAGGGATTGTGGTAAGTGTTGATGGGCTGGTTGATGACGGGGATGGCGGATGCAGCTGGTACGGTCCGCAGTGTTGTGGGGCGGTATGACTGCGCAATAGAAGTCAGTTTGTTCCCATCCTTCGCAGCGACAGGACGCGTCGACGATTGGTACTGGTACTGGTCTATGACGGGAACTGGGATTTTGTAGTGCGGCGCATGTAATGGAGCTGTGCCGTAGGTCCCGTATACCATGCCGCTAGATCCGACTACTGGTCTCCAACCTCCTTTTGAGCCTAGACCCTGAAAAAAAGAAATTAAATATTTTATAACATTTTATTTATAAGCTTCATATACAAAGTTGCACATAGACATAAAGTCAGTATTTGTAACTGAAATTTTATTTATGTGCCCAATGTATTATGATCATAGTCTTGATTCATGGGACACAATTACTCTTGTTATGACTGGAGTTAATCCCACTCAAGTTTATTTTTAATATCTGCACGGTTGGTGCAGTGGCTGGGCAACCGGCTGTCGTACAACGTGTCGCGGGTTCGATTCCCGCACGGAACAACACTATGTGTGATCCACAAATTGTTGTTTGGTTCTGGGTGTCATCGTGTATGTGAACTTGTATGTTTGTAGACCCACAACACAGGAGAAAAT